TCTGCTGAGCTAATAAATCTCTGTTCTAACCATCTCTTTGATTGCTTCCAGGAGCTCCAAAGGGAGTCTTGAAGGCATCGGTTTCTGATGTGCCGCTGGAGGAGAGGTTAGCTCTGACCTGCTCTGAGTGAGATCCCAATGCTGGAGCTTGGATTGCAGCGGGATTGGGTTTCCCCACAGAGTTGCGGCTCTCAGCAGTAAGCAGGCCTCCTGCGAGCTTCATAAGGGTTGATTGTTCAGCTGAGCCCACCTTCTGCTGCCACGCCCTGGCTGTCGATTCAGCACATTGGCCCCACTCCATTTTGGCGCACTTTCTTTAGATGTGCTGGAGGGAGCTGCTACTGGCCACCAGATCAAGCCCATCAAGGGTCATGTTGGCGCCACAGACCTCAGAGGTGGCTGCAGCATCCAGGAGGGGAAAGGACTCCTCCTCCGAAAGAAACCTGTAGAAGTCACTGGACGCCATTAGCCTCTGTAACGAGTCTTCCCTCACTGTGGTTGAAGTAAGTGCCATTGAGGTAATGGCTAGCCTCAAACTAAGCTTCTATAATTGGAGTGAAGAATAGGGGGAAGACAGGATTAAAGACTAGGTAACAAGAAAGAAAGGTGTAAGGAGGTGTGACAGATTGCAAAAAAAAGCAGGCTTTTTAAAATGCTGCTTGTGTCAGAGAGTCAGGAATTTCAAGAATTAAGCTTCCCTGGAGAGAAGAGCTTATGTGATTGGCTGCTCTACTCACTCTCTGATTGGCCAGCATCATCTTAAAGAGGAAATAAAAGAGCTGATCTGGAGGGGAAAGATTCATTCACCTTTCATTCACCTTTTGGTCTTTGTCTGAAATCTAACATCTGGATCAGTAGCCAGAGAGTTTGGCTTCTGAGGGAAGAGACTTTGGGAGTCAGTGCTTTCTGTCAAGGAATTGTCAGAAAAGTACTTCTATAGAGAGAAGAGGGACTCCATTGTCTGAGATATATTAAAAACTAATCTGAGGCAGAATTCAGATTCTCAGTCAAGAAAGCTACAACACTGCTTTATTCAGACATATCGTACTGGAAGAGGAATTTGGCAGCAGGTCTGAGGAGTTAGCGAGAACTCCCAGACAAGCCAAATAAGAAAAGGAGTTATTGCTTCTTAAGGACAAGAAGAATAACTTCTAGCCAGTAGGAAGGGGTTGGGAAGAGAACCCTGGTCTGTGATAAAGTGAAAGGGCTTAGACACCTCAAGAGTTACTGGAAAGTTATAATATCTAAAGGGAAAACCTAGATCTTTTAAGGGAGAAACCTAGAAGCACTAGGGCAAAACTATCCTCTAAAAAACTGCATTTAAGATTCTGTGTAACAGCTGAAAAATATAAGCAAAAACTTCTCATTGAAAAGAATTTGAAGCTCAGAAATTAAGCTACAACACTCTCTTGTTTATTCAAAAACCTCAGTTCTGTGTATGTATGCATGTGTGTGTGTGAAAGTTTTACCTCAGCAACCATTATATTTTGAATCCTCATATTTATATATTCCCTACCTCTTTATTAAAATCTTTATTCTGTTTTGAAAGTTAATTTTGCCTCACTTGCCATTTCATTAGGGTATTTTAACACAAGACAGCTCCTGTATTCCTTCTAGATCCTGTGCTGAGTCATAAGTCTAAACTAATATCTGTGACAGGGTGGGGCAGTTAAAGCTTATAAAATAAAATAACGAATAAATACATGCTACCAGGCCCTTTTTTCTGGGGGAACATGCCGGAACAGAATTCCGGAACCTCTTTGACAAAATTATTTTAAAATGTGTAAAAATTCATGAGTTTTCAGTATACAGATCAAAAGCTTCATTTCCATTTTGAGAGTTCCAACACCACTTTTTCAAAAAAAAAAGAAAAAAGCCCTGCACGCTACTGAAGGGTGGCTCAGTTACTGAGGGGAACTAAAAATATTTTTGGCAGGGCATCTGCCTGAGAGTGGGGAAGCATCAGGGTTAGGAAGAAGAGGTTAAGTCAAAATGTGAAATTCAAGCAGAAATAGAGGGACAGAATATAGACAGAGCCTATTCTAAGTTGCTCTCCCTGTGAGGCAGAAAAAGAACTGGGGGAAAGTGGTGGATACCACTCAGGAGACAGGAAGTGAGAAGATTTGTCCAGCCTCCCTGAATAGATGGTGGGAAACACTCAAGCAAGATGTCCTCTGCCTCAGAAGGAGAAGGTATTTGCATGTTTCTCTACTTTTTCTATATTATTCTCTTTGTGTAATGGTGGAGCATCAGTATACCATCTGCTGTAAATGGGTTAATGTTTTTTAGAACATAAGGAAGTGCCTGTAGTAGGAGAAAAAAAATGGAAGTGGAAAGATTTAATCTCAAATTAGGCCAGTAGCATGGATTGCTTTAAGGAGGGATTACACAGATTTATAGCCGATAGGTACATCAGTGGTTAGTAGCCATGGCGATTAAAGGGCTCCTCCAAGTCCAGAGGCCGTATACTGCTGAATACCAGTGCAACATCAGGGAAAGACCTTGTGTGGGACAATGATTGGTCACTGCATGAAACAGGCTGCTGGACTAGATGGACCTGTTCTCTGATCCAGCAGGGCTCTTCTGATGTTCTTATAGGCCAGACTCAGTTTAGGCTGTGGTCCATTTGCATATCCATTCTGATAGCATTCATTTATGTACATAAAGAACATATATTCAATTCACGAATACATATTTCTGGTAACTAAGAAATAGACTCATTCCTACATGACACTCAGAATTAGCAAGACATATTATAACTGATAAATTAAAAGACATTAACCAGCAAACACAAAGACAAATGAAAAGTTTAGCCTTACGTATTCCAGATATGCACATCATTTTTGCAATTGTTCTGTTAAACATTAATCAATCCAGAGTGAGTTGTATGTTCCATATTATCTGTCTTGAACAATTAGGATACTCTATGTTGGAGTGAATTCCACAAGTGGAGACTTCTTCTTCCAAATTCTGACCAAATGTTCCATATGAGCTACAATGTTCCTAATCTGCCCCTTAAAAATACATGTTTAAAGCATATCCTCAGATAGAGGTTTGCTGGGATGCCAGGTGCACTTCACTCAGTATTCCCAGTGGCCACAGGGCACATATTGGGATTGTGAGAATTTCCATACAATAGCTGGCTGTCCAAGCAGAAGCCCTCCAAGTACCTTTTGCTGGCAGCATTACCAATCAGGAGTGCTCATTTACTCAATTTGCTATCAACTGATGGAACACTTAAACTGGACCCTGTGGACCATGCTGGATGGGCACTCATTCTGATAGGAGCATTATATTTTCTTGTCTTTTTACTGGCAAGCTGTATTCCCACAAGGCACATAAAGTTAGCTTGTCTGATTTTTCAGTGCTCAGCAATGATGACCACAGTCAGGGGTGTGCTGTTCTACCAAGCAAATGATACAAATGATATAGTGATCACAGTCAGCTGCCAGACCCAAACGTTTCTTTTTACCCAGGCTTTTAATTAAGGGGTTGATCTTTTTAGAAAAAAAATTACACTTTCCTTCTTCTAGCCAATAACTTTTGTAAGACTCATTTTAAGCTGTGAGTTGTGCTACCACTGGGTTTTAAATGATTTAATGGTTAACTTTTAACTATTTTTATTCTGTTTATGTTTTACTTCATAAGCTACTTCAAGCAGGTTGTCTGGAAAGGTCGCACAGAACTTTCCTAAATAAATAAATGTTCATCTGCCACAGAGAAAAATCCCTAGCATCTAGTACACATTTTGTGGGCTCTCACTCATGACAGGTTATACCACACAATACATTTAGCCTTCAAGATGTACCAAGGTACTTTGTTTTAGCTACATCAGACAAAACATGTCAACCTCCCTAAAGTTCTGAAATCAAGAATGTGTGCATCTTTCCTTCCTTATTACTTAAGTGAACAGTAGAAAAATAATTACACTTCTCTCAGGTTCTCCACTTCCTAAGATCCTAACCAACACTGTACATCTGAATGTAACTAAGGAATGATAGGAAGAAACAAAAGCATTACAATAAAATATCCTGTATGTTGTCTGAAGAAAGAGGAGTGTATCCTAATACTATTAGCACTTGAGAAAAAAAGCTGAGACAGGATGATCCCACATTCATGTTTTACCTAAGAGCACACCCACATGGCACAAGATTTCCAAGGGGGGAATATTTTGTCAAGCACAGGAAAGGCTGTCTGGATACTCCTTCAACAGATTCATCATGATCATATTTTATTGTTTATGTTTACTACCTTATTTCATAACAAACTAGTGAAAATATGAAATGACTATCCATCTAAGGATTCTCACAGTAATACAAGTCCAGTATAAGAAACTGTGATACTAAAATACTTCAGTAATATTAACTTCTCCTAAATTACAATGTTTAAGAAAGCTCAAAAAATTTATTGGGCTACACAGAAATTAACTAGTAATTAAAGTTTCAAATATGTTATTCAGGTAAAATACCAAACTGCTCTTTGAAATGTAGTTCCTGAAGTCCCTCATATTCTAGAAGAGAGAGAAACAGCAAAAGACTTTGCCAAATCTGATCTGAGACTCAGGCTAGGTTTTGCCTGTCCACTTACACAGCAGTATTGTCTGGTGCCCTTGGGGACCATCTGCATCATAGGTAGTGTGTTCCAAGAGCACATAAATGCTGGCTGCTGTGAGGGAAAAGATATTGCTGTCCACCAACTTTGCACCATGACAAAATTACATGCACAATGTCTAGATTCCAGCAAAATGCAAACATATATTTTGATTTGACTGTAGCTAAATGCTATTTGACAAGCCATCATATACCTCTTTGCTAGCTCTTTTCTAAATCAAGAAAAACATCAAAAGTAACACTCAACAGAAAATAGCAAGTAAAGATTGCTCTGATTATCAGACCTTACCTCACTGTAGCATTCTTGGATCAACAAAACTAACAAAAATGAAACCACATGAGAAGGCATCATAAGAGCCAGAAGATAGATTCACTAAAGTATGTACTTACATCTGGAAATTCTTTTACAGGCACATATAGTTTCTCTTGTAACTGTACAATAGGTCCCACAGCATCAGGTAATTCTGCACTTCTCTTCTCCGTACTACCATTTAATGTGTCGTTATACATGTCTTTCCGTACTCTGCTAATTTCTGTGGAAGAAAAATGTGCACCATGTATTAAACATAATTTGAGACATTAAAAATTCTAAATGTGCTACTTTCACTGCCTTCTCTATGGGACAATCACACACTTCCAATTATAAAATCTTTATAAGCTGAATTCAGAAACTCATTTCAAAACTTTTCTTTATATTTTCTTCACACTTAGGATCTAGCACTCTAGTCAACAGTACTGTAAGTGCATATGTACAAATGTATCGTGAGAAGAGCATTCTCGCATATACTGATGACTATTAATTATAATTTAACTATATTAAGAGACAAAGGAAATAAATGGACCTTTTCATGCAATGTAAAGTGTTTGCTATGGAACACCATGTGAAACCATTCAAATCAGCTAAGTTTCAATTTGTCTATTTATCTAGTGTTATTTATCTAGTGTTAAACTGACCAAAACTGATGACATCCTATTACAGCAATGAGAAGGTATTTGGTACACAGGGGAATATTGTTGTTCCCTGTTCTTCTGAAAAATGTTCAAAGCAGTTTATATGCACAAAATCCCAAGTTCAATCACAATTATTTCTCAGGGATCTCAGCTGGCAGGTAGCTGGAAAGACATTTCTATCTCCAAGGTATGGGAGACCTGCTGCCTGTCAAAAGACAATACTGAGCTAAATGGACCAATGGGCTGACTCCTCATAAGACAGCTTTATATGTTGATACATATAGAAAACAGTGTACGTACAAACACATACAACTTCCTAACAATCTACAGGAATCAAGTGACGGACTGATAATCCAGAATGAACCATTTCAACCAGCAACGGATGTTTTTCCAGTACTGAGGTACTGGGGGGGGGGGACATGTATACAACATTACTCAGATTGCAACATTTCAACCAGCAACGGATGTTTTTCCAGTACTGAGGTACTGGGGGGGGGGGACATGTATACAACATTACTCAGATTGCAATCAGTTTGCAGTACTCAAATATAGTCTGCGATGACCTTCCTTCCCCTAGAAATGGGTTTCTGTTCTTAGATTATTACAGGTTCATTTGATGATAAACTTGTGTGGTCTACATTCCTCAAGGTACTCAAGGCAGCTGCTGTGCTGGAGCATGTTCATTCCACTTACTGCCCTGCTTGAAGGCTCACTTGGCTGCTACCAGAGCACATTTCTTTATTACAGTGGCTCCCACCTTGTGGAATGGGCTCCCACATGGAGCGAGGAAACACCATTTTTAAAAAAAGTTTTAAATGTGCTTTGATTTGGGAGGACTTTTAGCAGAATTTAAGATGCAGGCATTTGCCTGGGAAAGGGAGTTCATGGGGTTTGTCGTCTTTTGTACATTTTTAAATTTTGGAACTGTAAAGTTGCCTTGAGTCACAAAGGAAAGAGGGGCATAAATATCTTCCTAAATAAATTGATGAAATTGACTTCTAAAAAAAATACATCTATGACCTAGATTATCTAGAAAGTTCAGTTAACTGGCACTACCCAAAAGACAAGTTCCTCTTGCTCAGTCACTACACTACTGTATCTTTGGGGATATGGGGATATGAGCCACTCTCACCTCTGTGGCAGATCAGTCTATGCCTTTGGTCATTGCTAGGTGTCTAATAGTCAGCTCTGCAAGTGGGTGTCCTTCCCCCTCAAGCTAACGGAGCTGACTGGGGCCAGTTCTGCTATATAGCACTCCCAGGCACTTGGCACACTTGTCTACCTGCTGCATAGAATTAGTCCATGGCTCAGAGGGAGGGCCTGTCAGACATGGGGTCTTATTGCAATGGTATTTCCAATGGGTAGGACTTGGTTGCTGCAGATGCCTCTCAGTAGGGGGTGAGGCATAGCAATAAGCTTGAGTATCTAGCATATTTGATTAACTCACACACACACACAATCCCCATGAGTGCTTTTACTGTAATGTACAAAACAGTATTTTGGCTCCTTCTAAGAATTATGACTCAAGCAGTCAATATGGCCAGGAATTACATGCAGAGCCCATCAGCTGAGCAAGTATCATGTAATTGTGATCTTTAACAAAAATGAAATGGGAATCAGACCTTTGGCAAGCTAATGCAAGACATTATGATGCACAGCAGAGAAGGGAGTATCAAATAGTTGCCTAAGCAAAGTACTACCACACCCTTTCCATGTGACAACATGCAAGTACATTAAAAGCAGTTTAGGAGAAGCAGGGAACCCACAAGGACTCATGGGGAAGCGACATTCCATTGTTGCTGCCACTGCCAGCCACTGTATAAATGACTCGTACTGCCCCCACTATCCAAATCATTATGCTGCTGGCTTTAGAGCAGAAAGCATATTCAATATGCTTTCCACTCCAAGCCCAGACACCCCCCCATCAGTAGGTCAGCAGTCACAGGAGAGGCTTGGAGCAGAAAACATGAATGCCTTTCTTCCCTTCAAGCATCTCCCTCCTCCCATCATCAGTTAGGTGATTGTTGGTTGCCACTGAGATCTTGCAACACTTATGAGATTGCCACTAAAACAGATGAACAATGACTGAACTTGCACAAGTAGTTTCTCTGGTTTTCAGCTCCTTAAAAAAACCAAAACATTTCACTTTTTGGATTTTTATTTCTTTTTGCAAACATGGGGGTTTCATATTTCTAGGACAAACAATCTTCCTTTCCTAGCCCCATTGTGTAGATTTTGATTTGCACTCCAGAGTTACATTTAGAATTAGGTGTACCGATTTTTAAAAAATGTTGAGAATTCACAGATATTGCTTGCAAACAGTGAACTATTTCCAGTCTGATCAAGAGGGCATTTTGTCTGTCAGTACTTCAAATTTTTATAAGCCTAAATTTTAGAGGATCTTAATCAAGCAAAACAAAACTGTGGGATTCACTTCCTCTTTCTCATCTGTCCACATCTGTCATCGTCTCCCAATAATGGATAAAAAAATTGTTTTGTTTGGTATCACTTTACTGACACTCATCCCTCTTTGTTTTTAACTGTGTTTTGTGTGTGTGTGTGTGTATGTATGTACTTTTTAAAGTTGATTTTAATGTGTTTTTAACTGTTCACCACCTCAAGAATCCTGAGTGGAAAGAAATTTTTAAATAAAATTTTCCATCTCATATTCACCATTTGACCATTAGAGTTCACTGACAAGTTAAATGTATGCCTCCTGACAAAGCTTAACTCATGAACCTTTACTAATAAACTTGTTCCAGTTTAGACACAAAATTCCAGCTTCCCAACACCTTCTCCTCTCTCTCAAGTACACTGATGATGTTATCTGGATGCACCGGGAGGAAGCCCCTGAAGAATTCTACCAGCTCTAGAATGATTCACACCTCATCATAAATCTAAGTGTGCACTAATCCAAGCAACATGCACTCTATGTACACCACAGTGTGAACAAAATATCATCTTATCAGAAATTCATTGACCTCCAGACATAACTAGAGATGTAAAGACCTGGGGGGAGGGGGTGAACTGGGAAGAAAAATCCCCCCCAAAAATACTTTCTTCCCCGATTTAGAGTAATAGAAAAATATGAAAAAACTAAAAGATGTCCTATGTAATGTTATCTCTTTTGAAGAAAAATGAGCAAAATGCTTTACAAAATGTGTAGCATGAAGGCTTTTGGCAAAACCATCTACAGCACTGACAATTTGTGTTTCCTATTGTTATCTTTCTTATCAGATGATAAAAATTAGCCACATGCTAAACTGGCATACAGCACTGCCATTTGCAGCACTCTCTCTAGCGTTGCCTGTTTTCACAATTATGATTGTAGAAAACTAAGGCATTAATGGTTAAATTCCATAAATATGCAAAAAACCCAATTGTGCATGTTAACTAAGTGATACATTTCATGTTGTTAGAGCAGCATATGTTTAAGGTTGATAAGAAAAGTAAATATTATATGTATCTGTTTTCCCAAAAAGGTCTACTTCCATGACTTCAAAATTTCCCAGAGTTTTATATCTGTAAGTATCTACGTGCTTCCACAATCAGAGAGATCGCACAATTCAACAGCTGCAGCTTAATCCTCAAAACTACAATACCCATCCAATTAAGTGAAGAAACTGATCTAAAACACTACACTGGTTACCAGAAGTTGCCTATTATAGAACATTACAAGGAGGAGAAATGACAGGCATCAAATTTAGGTACAGCTCTCACCAGATAGAAGTGTTCCAACTGGGGTGTGAACAAAAACCCAGTATTTTTTGGATTTGGGTATGCTGAACCTTAAAAAAATCATTATTTCTTCATATTTCCAAATCCCAACAACAATATGGTATTCGGATTCTGTAAATATCTGGAAATCAAGTGGCTACATTATACCTTATAGGGACCATTATACTCAATAGTCCCCTAGGGTATAATGGAGAATTGACCCAGGTTATCTGGGGCTCTGGAGGGGCTGTTTTTTGAGGTAGAGGCACCAAATTTGTAGCATAGCTGCTGGCACCTCTCCTAAAAAAAAACAACAACCCAAAACCCAAGTTTCAAAAAGATTGGATCAGGGGGTCCAATTCTATGGGCCCCAGAGAAGGTGCCCCCATCCTCCATTGCCTTCAATGGAAGGGGGAAGGCATTTAAAGGGATCAGTCCTTTTAAATGCCTTCTGCAAGCCACACAGCCCGCAAATGAACTCTGAAGGTATTTAAAGGGCTTACTGTCCCTTTAAGTGCCTTCTTCAAGCAGCAAGTTCACCTGGAAAGCATTTAAAGTGACTGCAATCCCTTTAAATGCCCTTTAATTTTGACTACCCAACAGTCCCAAAAATCCCGAATATTTTTGGGATTTTTCAGGCTTGGCCATTTTGGAAAGTCTAAATTCACCTCCAATCAATATCTGGCTTTAAAAAATACTCCAAAGAAATATTGGTAAGCTCTCTGGGGGGGTATTTTTTTCAGCTCAGTTTATGCTGAATGCACACCCCTGGTTCCAAACTATCAATATTTACAGCTCACATCAGGCAATGATATTCTCTCTTGGAGGGCCTTGGGTGGTAGGCTTTTCCCCACACAGGCAGATA